TAGAAATAGACTTAACTAAGGACATGAAAGATTTGTACAAAGAAAACTACAAAATATTCCTTAAAGTAATTAGAAGATATAAATAAATAGAAAGACATGGCATGTTCATGGACTGGAAAACTTAATATTGTTAAGATGTCAAAAAGACTACTCAAAAAGATCTATAGATTCAGTTCAATCTCTATCAAAATCCCAATGAGTATTTTTGCAGAAACAGAAAAATCTGTCCTAAATCCATATGGAATCTCAAGGGACTCCAAACAGCTGAAACAATCTTGAAAAACAAAACTGGATGGGCGCCTGGGTGGCTCAGTTGGTTGAGCGACTGCCTTCAGCTCAGGTCATGATCCTGGAGTCCCGGGATCGAGTCCCGCATCGGGCCCCTGCTCAGCAGGGGGTCTGCTTCTCCCTCTGACCCTCTTCCCTCTCATGCTCTCTCTCATTCTCTCTCTCTCAAATAAATAAATAAAATCTTAAAAAAAAAAACAAAAAACAAACAAACAAAAAAAACTGGAGATCACATACTTCCTGATTTCAAAACTTACTAAAAGCTACAGTAATCAAAACAGTGTAGTATTGACATAAAGACAGATGTGGAGGCCAATGGAATAGAATAGAGAGCCCAGTATGACCAAATGGTTGACAGTGGTGCCAAGCCCATTCAAGGGGGAAACCGTCTTTCTGACAAATGGTGCTGGGAATACTGGATAGCTACATGCAAAAGAATGAAGTTTGGCCCTTACATCATATACAAAATATAACCGAAAATGGATGAAAGATCTAAACATAAGAGATAAAACTATACAATTCTTAGAAGAAAACAGGGTAAAAGCTAAGTAATATTGGATTTGGCAATGATTTCTTGGATAAGACACCAAAAGTATAGGCAACAAAAGAAAAAATAGATAAATTGGATTATATCAAAATTTAAAAGTTCTGGGCATCAAAGGACACACATATAAGCAGAGTGAAAAAGCAACCCACAGAATGGGAGAAAATATTTGCAAATTATATATCTGATAAAGGTTAATATCCAGGGGCACCTGGGTGGCTCAGCTGGTTGGGTGTCCGACTCTTGATTTCGGCTCAGGTCATGATCTCAGGGCCCTAAGATTGAGCCCCGCATCTTGTTCTGCGCTCAATGGGGAGTCTGCTTAAGATTCTTCTCTCTTCCTCTCCCTCTGTCCCTCCCCTGGCGCATTCTCTCTCTTTCAAATAAATAAATATATCTTAAAAAAAAAAGATTAATAGTCAAACTATATAAAGAACTTCTACAACTCAATAACAAAAAACAAACCTGATTAAAACATAGGCAAAGGACTTGAATAGACAGACATTTCTCCAGTGATACACAAATGGCCAATAAGCACATGAAAAAATGTTCAACATCACTAATCATTGGGTAAATGCAAATCAAAATCACAGCATCACCTTACATCCCCTAGGATAGCTATTCCTATTAAAAAAAAAGAAAGAGAAAAAACAGAAAATAACAAGTATTGGTGAGAATGTGGAGAAATTGTAATCCTCATGCATTACTGGTGGGAATGTAAAATGCTGCTACGGAAAAGAGTATGGTAGTTTATTTATTTTTATTTTTTTAAAGATTTTATTTTCTTGAGAGACATCGCAAGCAGGGGGGAAGGGTAGAAGGAGAAGCAGACTACCCGCTGAGCAGGGAGCCCAACACGGGACTCTATCCCAGGACCCTGGGATCACGACCTGAGCCAAAGGCAGATGCTTAACCGACTGAGCCCCCCAGGCACCTGAGTATGGTAATATAAAATTAAAAATATAATTACCATATAATTCAGCAATCCCACTTCTAGGTAGATACCCAAAAGAGTTGAAAGCAGGGTCCTGAAGAGACTACTTGTACACCCATGTTCAGAGCAACATTATACACAATAGCCAAAAGATGGAAGCAATTCAAATGTCCAATAATGGATGGATAAGCAAAATGTGGTATATACAATGGAATATTATTTAGTCTTAAAAAAGAAAAAATTCTGATGCTACAATATGGATGAACCTTGAAGACATTATGCTAAGCGATATAAGCCAGTCACAAAAAGACAAATACTGTATGATTCCACTTTTCCAAGGTATTTAGAGTAGTCAAAATCAGAGAGATAGAAACTGGAATAGTGGCTGCCAGGGCTGGAGGCAGGTAAATGGGGAGTTATTGTTTAATAGGTATAAAATTTCAGTTTTACAAGATGAAGAGCTCTGGAAATGGATGTGGTGATGGTTGCACAACCTTATGAATATATTTAATACCACTGAACTATACACCTGAAAGTGGTTAAGATGAAAAATTATGTATATTTCATGACAATTTTTTTTAAAGTAAGTATCCCCATTCTCTCCCTTGCCAAAAAGAGATAGAAGGTAAGAATTTTCTAAGATTTCTTAACCATTTTTCTCATGTTTACTTTGGCCATTCTTGTTTCTTTCTAGAAATTAGCCGTTTAAAAAATCATAAAGAGGAAAATAAGAGGAATCAGTAGGTGAAACCTGTTACAACTTTTTTATAGTATCTTACTGTATCTACCTGGGATGGTCCACAGCAGGCATTGATAATATAATGGTGCTGCTTCAGAAGAAGAGTGTTCTAATACCTAATACATGATCGCTAGCACATATATTGCTTACTAGGTGCCAGAAACTCGTGCAAATGCTTTACATATATGAAACTATTTAATACAGTATGAAGTAGCTATTAATAGCATCTTTATTTATTTATTTATTTTTGCTGGTGAGGGTGTTCTGTTATTATTATTATTATTTTCTTCTAGAAGAAGCACCTTGGAGACTTTTTAGTCAGTGCCAGAGCCATGGCCAATAAAAGGCTTGCCACATAACAGGCGCTCAACAAATCTTTCCTGGTGACTCACATTAAACCAGCATGCCTAGTGGGGTGACAAACTCAAACGCCTTAAGCAGCTGGGCAGTAAGTAAATAAGCCAAGTAGCGTCTATGCAGGCACGGAGGCAAACTGCAAAGCACCCACCCCACCTAAAGGAACTCAAATTCAACACTTTCAAACACATTTCACAGCTTGGCCTCGACAGCAACTTTGCAGGCTCTGCAGACTGCTGATTCTGGTTCTCCATCACACCACATGGTTGTCTTGCGCATCATCTATATCACCCTGTGATCTGGTCTTGTCTTTCTGCGGTAAGCATCCTTGCAGGGTTTTCCTCCAAATGCATCAAATATGCTTGTTCCTGAGCCACCTAGACAGGTGGTACTGATGCGTCCAGACACATTGCTCAGGGCACCGACCTAGGCCCAGCTCCCGCGCCCAGGTCTCGCCTCCCTTAATAGCATCTTTATTTTATAGATAAAGAATCTGATGCACTATATAGTTAAATAACTTGCACAAGGTCACCACCTTCAAGTGGTGAGATGGCTTTCAAATGGCATCTTAGATGGCAGTCTCCATCCAGAACTCACAGACTTAGTAAGTAGATCACATGACCTCTTTCTGAACATAGCACTACTCCCAAGCAATAGGAGGCACTCAAGATGAAAATTTTAGACTAAATCCTAAAGACAAAGCATGATATAACAATCTCTTCAGCATGGTAATGTTTTACATGAACAAGAAAAATTCATCTGAGCTTATCTCCCTTTCTAGCATCATCTCCTATCCACCTGCCTAATAAACTCCCACCTCCTGCATCATTCCCTCTGTGAGCTATACCAACCTGTCTACAGTTCCTTGATTAAAATCAAGCTGTTAACTGCCAAACCTTTGCACATGCTGTTCTCTTTACTTAAAACATTCCCTCCCCTCCTCCCACCATCTTCTTTGTCTGGCTATTCAGACTTCATTCAGTTGTAAAGTCTGGTCTGACAGTAAATCTCACATGCACCCCTGTTCTTCCTGTATGTTCCCAGATAACATATAGGAAGTACACATTTGTACGCTACAAAATCTCTTCCAACTATTAACTATATATGATTCATTCTTATTCACAAGTTATGGCATATGGTAAGTGCATCCCTTGAATAAGTGTCTTCCGAGTACACTGGGGCATGCAAGAATACTTCTGGGGTTCATGTTTCAGAACCCATTAATTAAAGATGAGTCCATTATGATGAGGTTCTGCCAGAAACTACATTTACCACTGGAAAGTTCCAATACAGACCCACATACTATACTTTAGATTTAGGTGGATCATGTTTTAATGGCACCCCAGTGTAATGTGAAAGCCGTAAAGCACTGTAGTATTAAACCTATAGTTGCGGCAAGAAACAAATGTAATGCTAAGCATTTCCCACGCATGGGGAAAATATACTATGTTAAAGTCACAGAATTATATAGATATTAATATCAAACCTTCAGTTTACCTTTAACAGAAAATTCTTTTATATGGAGTACATTTTAACACAATCACAAATATTTATATACTCATTCCAACCATAATAGCTGAATCCTCTGTACACTCATTGCACTTCATATAAACAGTTTGGCTCTTATTTCATTATACTGTAATTATCTGTTTACATGACTCTATTAGACTTCAGGCTCTTTGAAGGCAAACTGCCATTCACTTTTATGTCTCAGTGCTTGGTAGCAAAGATTCCCAAAGCTTGAAGAATAACTTAAGTAGTATTTTAAAGTCTATAAAGAATTCTGCAAATAATTTTCCAGAAAAAAATTAAATTTAGAGGTTATATAACTTGGCTGAGATCATAGAGCAAGTAGATAAATGAATTCAGAATTCAAATCCAGGTCTTCAATCAACAATTTCTATGCCCCTTCCACCACACCACACATATTACCATAAGTAAATAACTACAAATTGTGCAAGTACTACATCCTGTATTAGTTGTCTGCAGTTATAAAGCAACAATTCTATCATAACTCACAAAAAATTACAATAATAAAGGTCCTTTAAAAATGAGATCTCTGAACTGTCACACAAAGTTAGTAATCACTACTAGTCTTAATAGAATACTGCTATAAGTATTTTAAAAAAAGATTTTACCTTGTACTTCTTTATCATGATACTCCTTTAGTTTTGTCCAAATTTCCTTAAAGTCATTAGATATATCTACAGAACTAGGGCTTCCACAATTGCTTCCAGAGATGTTCATCTTGCTTAATATGCTCCACACTTCTTTTTGCCTAATGTTTCCTGACCTATTTCTGTTACATTATATAGGAATGAAGTTGTCTTTGACAGTTGAAATACCTGAAACGATAGATTACAACATAAATGAATTTTGCATTTATATGTATATAATTTGATGTCAGGATACCTTCAAGCCTAGCCAGCTCTTCTCAAGTTTTCCTTATTTACCTACAATCAATCACTTTGAGAATTTGGGGGATGGGAAGTGAAAATGATTATGGTGAGAACCCTGATTTCAGTTATTTGGTCCTTAGTTAAGCTAAATTTTCAGGCAAACTTTCTCTTATTCCTCCTAGAAAGAACTTAAGTTGAGATGATTCTGCTATGGAGGTTTGCAGTCATTCACGCTCAGTACTGATTGATTCATCATTCTAAATTAATTTATTCCTCTGTTAAAATTTTGACATGGAGTGCAACAAAAACTGGAAAACGTTCTGAAATACTCTTGACTTAAACAGTATTCACATATACACACATCTACATATTCATAGAAGCACAAATCTTATAAAAGAGCAAGAAAGATGATTGTGATTAATACACCTGAAGATCTGAATACCTTTCTCATAACAAGAGAAATAAGTGAGCAAGGCATAGGCACAATAAAGATCTATGAATACAGAAACGTCTAGTAATAAGGCAAAAAGGGTAAGGCTATTTTGTGCTCCTCTCAGAGTAGCGGTGAAATGATTTATTACTTGTGTAGCCCCAAAGGAAGCAACAGGGTACTAAGAAGTTCAAGTGGATTCACAAATATTTTAATGTGTCCTTAAGCTGAAACCATTAACTAGCTACTACTAAGTCAAACGATTAACAAGTCTACTCTATCTTACATATGGCTCTTTAGCCAATGCCTTACCATTGCTAATGTGTCCAAACTGATTTAAGTGTCTCTTACAAACCATTTCTCAAGGTCTCTGATGATGAGGCTAAAATAAGCAAGGACTTTTTTTTTTTTTTAAAGTAGGCTCCATGCCTAAGGTGGGGCTTGAACTCACGACTCTGAGATCAAGACTCCTATGCTCAACCGACTAAGCCACTCAGGCGCCCCAGCAATGGCATTTCTAAAGGAGCAAGATTATGACTGAAGCCACTTTGAAAAGCACTACAGAAATATTGTAAAAACACAATTTTATTAAGCTTTTTAAAAACTGTGATTTAGGTTTTTTTGAGACAGTGAAAACTGAACATGTACTGGATTTAAGATAATGTTAGGGAATTATTTTTAATTGTCTTGGGTATGATAATGTGCTCATGTTAAAAAAAGGAAGTCCTCGGCTGTTAAAAAGATATATACTGATATATTTACAGGTAAACTCACCTGTTCTGCATTTGCTTTCAAATACTCCAGCTAAAACAAACAAAAAATGTTGGGTAAGGAGATGAAACAAGAAGGGCTGCTTTGACAATTATTGAAAGTGAGTAATGGATGGGTTTGTGACAGAGTTCATAATTCTAGTCTCTCTCGTGTACATTTATTATTTCCATTATAAAGTTTTTAAAAGAGGGACTGGGTGCATGAATTAATACAGCTTTATTTCCAAAGAGGCCTGAATTCTACTATTTCTTAACCCTAAAAGATAATAGGCCTATTGTCAACAGAAGCCACCATTTGTTGTTTACTATGTAACAGATACCATGCTGTTTTATAGTCATTTTTTAAAACTTAATCTTGAGAACGCTATAGAACAGCTACTGTTATTAATTTCATTTTAGAGTTGGAGAAACTGGTTTAAGAGATTAAGTGGTTCGCCCAAGGTCATACAATTAGGTCCCACACTATGTCTCCAGGGCAGGGATGAGGAGGGGAGGGGAGGGGGCCTCTAGTGATGCTAATTAACTACAAAATACTTTAGCCCAAGAAAAATAATTATTTCTATTAAGTAATAGTTTAAAAGTTTTAATTACTTTAATGAATAACTTAAAATTGCATAGTATGAAATTGCTTAAAACCAACAGTGTAAAACATTTTTAAATATATCTTCAGAGGTAGTATAAAAAAAAAGGCTTTTTCCCCCACTTAAAAACAGTTTACCAACACAAAACTAAACTTGCAAATTCTGGCTCACAAAACCCTCTCCAACCTATCCTGCACTCCCAGCACCTTTGTCAGAATCTCTCTTGGCTTGAACCGTTATCGATGCACGATGATGTGCCTTAATTTTGCAGAAATGGGCATCTTGTGTCGCAAGGTGCATCCCGGGTTCAAAGGTCTGTAACAATTTAATACATTTCTGTGCGTCCTGTAGCAATGTAAACCACCACACTGAAAGTGCTCAGTAAAATAGTTCTTTCCTGTCGCACCCACCACACATATTCTCACACAGATAAGGCAAGAGCCGCGCCTGGAGTCACACAGATGCCCGAGATAAACGAATTGGGACTCGGGCTGGTCTTCTTACGAGCAAAGCAGAGGTCCACAGGCTCCCATCCCAGGACCCGTAGCCACCAGCCTCTCCCGCGCGCCGCTGTCACCCAAACGTTCCAAGCCTGCCCCGCGACTGGCGCGGGAAGCTCGCACCGCGCCCCTCGGCGCATGCGCGGGGCGGGCTCGGCGGCAGTAGGCGAGTCCTCAGCCCGCGCGGGAGACCAAAGAACCACAGGGAGCGCAAGCTCGTCCTCCCTCCGACTCACCTCCAGACGAGTTTAGCCGGGCCCCAGCCTGCTCCCTCAGGCAGCCCCAGAAGCCGCACGGCTACCACAACTCCGGGGCCAAACGCGTATGTTCGGCCGGCAGCTTCAGACCGGAAGTAGCCGCTACGACCCACCGCTCCGGATTGAGGAAAGGAGCTTCCTCTTTACTCACGGCTTCCAAGATTGCCTCAAAGATTCTCGAAAGCCCCAGCACGGAAGCAGGCACGGCTCCGGGGCTGTGAAGAGGCAGCTGCTCGCCTTTCTTCCCCTCACTAATCTGCCTAACTCCCTCCGGGAAAGCCGGCCCCTCAGGGCGGCCCGCGCTTTCTGGGGGGTGGGGGAGGGCCCGAGGGCGGCCGGCCGGGCTGGGAGGCGCCCGGACCCGCCCCCTTGGAGCCCGCTCTACGTCACGCTGGAGTTCCCGCCACGTCACGCCCCTCCTCCCGCCGCGGAGCGAGGCGCTGCCCCGCAAGCCTCTCGCGGAAGAGCGGGGAGGCTCGTGTGTCCCCACGCTAGGGGCTGTGATGGGAGAGTGGAACGCCAGCCGCTGCGCGGTCGGGAGCGGCTCCAGGAGCTGGCGGCCGCCACAGCATTTTTGTTGAGATGCCCTGGAGAAAGCGCAAGCTTTTCTGTCTGGGGAACCTCAAGCCCTTGGTGTGTCTGACTTTAGCACATTTTAGGAAAGCATGTATGAGTGGCCAGTACCACATGGAAAGTTAAAACTGATGAGGGAACGGACACGGATCAGTCTAACATAGTTTCTGCCTGGTAGCTATTACCTGCAGTTTAGTGATGTGACCGGACAGTACTGGGTGGTGAGGCCATGTAGCAAAACGATATGTATTTTGCTGAGGTTAAATGGAAAGTTCCTGAAGACCCTGAAATGAGACGGAATCAGAATGACCAGCATTATTTGTTGGAACAACAAGCTTTAAATTAGGTAATTTAATGTTTTAAAAAATAAACACTTCCTGTGGCTGTTTGTAAAGTTCAGAAAGTTAGTATGTTTTCTTACTTATTTTGATTTCTAAAAGAAGCGTTTTAGCACTAGCAATTCTACAAGTGAAGTTGAAAATAAGCAGAAGAGGCTAGAATCACAGTATCTTTTAATCCAGTTCAATACTTTTCTGGGGTGCCTGGGTGGCTCAGTTGGTTAAGCGACTGCCTTCGGCTCAGGTCATGATCCTGGAGTCCCGGGATCGCGTCCCGCATCGGGCTCCCTGCTCTGCAGGGAGTCTGCTTCTCCCTCCGACCCTCCCCCCTCTCATGTGCTCTCTCTCATTCTCTCTCTCTCAAATAAATAAATAAAGTCTTTAAAAAAAAAAACTTTTCTGTAATATTTATACGATCTGGGAGGAAGACAGGATAGTATTATGAACTTTTAAAAGTTAAGTAGTATTTAGGAAATCATAAACTGTAAAGAATTTTTCCACTCAGTTCTGATGTTAAGGGATGAATATCAGAGCTTACTCCTTGAAATTGCACTCAACAGGATGTTTCTGTACCATTCTAGCAATGTTATAGGAACTTTGGTTTCTTCAGGGAAGAGGGTTCCTGAATCTTCATTATTATAGTAACTATCATTTGCTTCCAAATTTTACTACTTCATTCATAATACTGTTAAAGAAAATGGGTGAAAAATTGCCATTTCTAATATAACAGGCATAATTGCTTGTATAAATGTTTAAAATGGAAATAGAGTTTTGTTATAAATGGAAAGAACTTGTAATCAGTTTGTCATTTAACAGTACATTGAAATAACAGTGTATTTGTGGTCCAAAGAAAAACTGTGAGAACAAAATGACCTAACCTGTTCCTCTAGCTTCTAAGGCTCCACTGTCCAATACATTTATACAAGTCAGAATCCAAAGAATCAGCCTTGACACCTTTTTCCCCTTTAATCCCCATATCCAATCTATCACCAAGTCCTTTCAATTTTACTTGCCAAATAGATCCCAAATTAATCCTCTTCTTTCCTTCACCACCACGATATTACAAAATACCACTTTCTCTTACCTAGTCTGCTAGTCTATTTTCCATATCCACCCAACCAACAAACCACCTAAACCTTTCTCTTCACTGGTGTTCAGAAAAAAATTTGAGTATCCTCAATTCATGCATATATCTAAAATTTAAATTGTATACACGTAAAAAAAAAAAAATAGGGGCACCTGGCTAGCTCAGTCAGTACAGTTAAGTGATTCTTGGTCTTGAGGTGAGTTCAAGCTCCATGTTGGGCGTAGAGCTTACTTAAAAAAAAAAAAAGATAAATTGTGTACATGTATTGTTGAAAAATGGTATATAGTCTAATGGTTAAGTCAGGCTCTGGAGACAGACTTCCTGGTTTTGAATCCTGCTCTAATACTTCCTTACCAAGTGACCTTGTACTGATTTTTTAACCTCTTTTTCTTACCTGTAAAAGGAGGTTAATAGTACCAACCATCCAGGGTTATGAAGAATATAAGTTAGTGCATGTAAACTGCATAGTACACTGTTTAGATACACAGTATGTGCTCAGAAAAAAGCTAGCCCTTATTAGTACTTCTGAGTTCTGAGCTAACTCACAACTTATAAAGACATTTTTTAAAAGGATGAGAAAAAATGGAAATCTAATATTTTTTCCTCCTCCCATCTTAAATTTTACCCACTTTGAGACCACTTCTTTACACTATAGCTGCTGTGATCTTTCTGAAAAATAAATCTGATCATAGCTGCTTACATCCTTCAGTGGCTTATTGTTACTCTGAAGATAGCTCCTTTGAACTGCCTTTACTGCATCTCCAGGCCTCGCTGACCTTTTAGTGTCCCCTAGGTCTTTACATGCCTTTGCTTCTGTTTGGAATTATGAACCAAACCTACCCCTGCTCTTTGCCTAGCTATTTACTAATCTTTTTATCTTGTTTCAATAGTCTTTTCTATTAGCTCCTCTTATAGCACTATGTACTTTCCCATCTTGTACTTAGTAGTTTTAATTATTTAATTAATTCTCTCTATCCACTAGACTAAGTTTCTTGAGGTCAAAACCATGTCTTGTTTACCTTTTTTTTTGTTGTTTATTTTTTTGTTGTCATTCACCTTTTTATCTCCAGAAACTAACTCAGTGCCTGCCATAAAGTCAGTACTGTGTGGATCAACAAATAAATTGAGCATCCATTATGGGATTACTATTTTTTATGTAAGTGAAGAAAATCTTTGAATCCATGTAAAATTCTTAGATTCGCCACGTGAGATTTTATGATGGTCACTTTAGCAGTGGAAATGGTGGGCATACTTATAGATGTTTTCTCCCAGTGGGAGCTTTAGGCCCCATATGGTAGAATAAATTATGAGGTCCCAAAGATATGTGAGAAAACTTTATGGCTTTGAACAATGCTTCCCAAACTTTTTCAATACTTAGAAAATGAATATTTGTATTACATATTGTAATAAAAAGATAAGGCTTCTTCCATCTAGAGACAGCAGAAGTTGAAACTCCACACCCCCCCTCCCCCGTCAGCAATGCCCCCTTGAGGGCTGGAATTTTTTTTTTTTTTTTTAAAGATCTTATTCATTTATTTGACAGAGACACAGCAAGAGAGGGAACACAAGCAAGGGGAGTGGGAGAGGGAGAAGCAGGCTTCCCGCAGAGCAGGGAGCCCGATGCGGGGCTGGATCCCAGGCCCCTGAGATCATGACCTGAGCCGAAGGCAGACGCTTACTGACTGAGCCACCCAGATGCCCCTTGAGGGCTGAAATTTTAATGTCTTAGCATACCTATAACTCACTGGAGGCCCCTGGTTAGGGTGCTCGAATTAAAAATTGTGTGCTGAAATAATTAAAATGGTAAATTTTATATTATGTACATTTATACATTTAACCACAATAAGAAAAATTGTGTGGTAGCAGTAAAAGTTCTAGGATTCTTAGAACTGTAGAATTTTGGAATTTTAAAATTGTCTAACTCAACTAATTTTAAAACGGAAGCCTTTTGTTGATTCTACAATCTGCTTAACTCCTACATTTGGGTAGCTGAGGGTTGCCGAGGGAAAAATCACATAGCAGGTTAGACTGATACCACTAAAATTACATGGTTTCAAACCTCCTGTAAGGCATCAATTAATTCTTAAAATAGCCTTTGTTCAGCTGCTTTTGTTTCCTTTGCTGTCTTCCAGACCTTCACTATTTTCCTCAAGCTTCTGTACGGTATTTTCACTCTTAGCAGATACCCTAGCTCCAGGTTAAACAGGACAATTGGGGTCAACAGGTGTGATCTCCCTGCACATGCCTTTTCCTTTCTTAACCTGTGAATTGGGCAATACCTAATTACAAAATTACAGAAATGTAACTTGAATCCAGTTGCTTCTCCCCACCTCTTCTGCAGCCGCCCTGGGTCAAGCCACCAGCATCTCGAACCTCTTTTGCAGCAATAGCCTCTTTTTTTTTTTTTAAGTCAACTATCTTTCTACTTACACTGTTTACCTCTTACTGTGTATTCTCCAACAGCAGTCAGAGTAGTCCTTTAAAACTAAAGTCAGAGGTGCCTGGGTGGCTCAGTTGGTGGTCATGATCTGGTGCATCCCTTATGGGATTACTATTTTTTATGTAAGTGAAGAAAACCTTTGAATCCATTTAAAATTCTTAAATTCGCCACGTGAGATTTTATGATAGTCACTTTAGCAGTGGAAATGGGGAGGATACTTATAGATATTCTCTCCCAATGGGAACTGTAGGCCCCACATGGTAGAATAAATTATGAGGTCCCAAAGATGTGAGAAAACTTTATGGCTTTGAACAATGCCATTGGAGTTGGAGTTCTGGGATCGAGCTGTGTGGGGCTCCCTGCTCAGTGGGGAGTCTGCTTTTCCCTCTGATCCTCCCCCCTGGTCGTGTACGCGCTCTCTCTCTCATTCTTAAATAAATAAAATCTTAAAAACAAAAAACAAAAAACGAAGTCAGAACAAGATGCTGCCCTGCTAAAAACATTCCAGGATCTTCCCATCACCTTAGAATAAAATCAAACCCTTTTCCATGGAGTCAGGACGAGTGAATCACTATATTATATTGGTGTTATCACCTGAATAATAGTTTTGAATTAGTGCTTTCCTTTCAATTCCCTTATGCCCTTGTTTAGGTCCTGATATTTCTTACATAGACTATAGCCTCTTTGCTTCCAGTCTTCCTTGCCTTAATGAAGTCTCCACACAGTTGCCAGAAATATACACCATTATTTCCGATCCTGGTATTTCCTTGCTTAAAACCCTTCAGTGGCTCTCCATTCCTAAATGTAATCAGTATAAAAAATTATTCATGAGTACAGCACAACTCAATTTGGATTAGCTGCGTTTCAAGTGCTCAAAGCCACATGTGACTAGTGATTACTATATTGGGCAGCACAGGCCTAGCATAGCA